ATATATGGATATATATATATATATAATTGTATATATATATATATATATTTATTTGTTTTTTTCCATACAATATCTTCATAGACATGTACTTGCCGCCCGCTTGTTTGAGTAGGCAGGAGCAGAGTTGTCTCTGTATCTATGTGTTTGTTCGTACAGGGCCCTGTGTTATGCACTTGTACTAAGCTAGACGATGACACACAGGTACATGAAGAATCCGCAAAGTCTTTGAACGTGGCACTGCCACAACAGCTTCCAAACATCGGCGACATGCAGAACGCACACAACCAGACAGTATCGCTGCAGTTGAGCCGAAAACTGAACAACCATTGACCAGCAGTTGGCCGTTGAGGAGCCTCCAGTGCCCGCGCCAACTCATCCTCCCTGTGGAATCTTGGCCGTACTATAGAGCCTATAGAGGCCTAAAGAATTACCAATAGCATTTTGGGGGTTCCCATTTATAGTAGAATGTAATCCGAGACCGTGTTTTAATTACTGCGCCCTTATGTTATGATAAGAGTCATACATGCTCATTGGGTCATGTAGGGCCATGTCCGACACTGCCGAGAGGGCAGACACGACAGCAGGTTGAATTGCGTCATAACCTCCACACGCCCAAATCGAAGTATTGAGGCCCCTAAACCCCTACTCTTATAGTGACCCTTTCAAGGATCTCTAAATGGACCCTATTCTTATCATGAAGGCCCGTATGTTACCAGATGTCTTTTCAAGCCAACGGAAGCCTACAGTTTCAAGAAGTCAATTTTTCACGAGGCAGGCAAGCAACCATGGTTTTCAGTTCCGGGGTTTAGACTTGAAACAGGGTTTAGGGCTCAGAATTTGCCGCTGTGTGGATGACAGATGATAGATGTTTTGGGTGTAAAGCCAACCAGTCCAGCTTGCTAAGCCCTAAGCCCTAAACAGTTACTGTAGCTTAGATTTCTTGTGTTCATGCGTGCAAGAGTCGCCTAGGTACGAGCTCCAACTTTCTATGTCAATGTGTGGGGGTTCTAAAGCACTGGGTTTGGAGTACCATGCTTTTTTTAGTAGGGTATAGAGCTTGTGGGGTTCAGGCTTTAGGGATACTTGTTTTTTTTTGGAATTGTTCCTCAAAGGAACTATTATGAAGCGAAGTGTATACATGTCTCTCCGTGGTTACTTCAAAGCCCAGTGGCAGCAACTGAAAGGTATCGGATTTCAAACTTTCGGTCTACTGAAACCTTGAACTCTCAACCCTAAACCCTGAACCCTAAACCCTAAACCCTAAACCCTAAACCCTGGGAGGGGGGAAGGGACCCTAAACCTCAAACCCTAGACCCTAAACCCTCCCTCTAAATAGAAGGGAGGAAAGAGTTGCTCATGACTTACTCCCCCATGCCTGCTCCAGAGTGTTTCCGGCGAGTTTCTCATAGGGTGACCTTCGACGAAGCCGAGGTTCAGGGTTTAGTTTAGGGTTCAGGGCTTAGGGCTTTAGGGTTTAGGGTTTAGGGCTTTAGGGCTTTATGGTTTAGGGCTTTAGGGGTTTAGGATTTAGGGTTTAGGGCTCTTTCCTCCTGCCCTGGTTGACCCGACCATCTTCCCATCCTCCAAATCAACTTGCAGAGGTGCTTGCCACGCTCACGCAGATCACGCAGTGCCTGAGCTGCCCTAAACCCTAAACCCTGAATTCCTTTAAGCCCTAAACCCAAAACCCCTAAACCCTGAGCCCTAAACCCTAAACCCCCAGACCCTAAACCCAAACCCTTAAACCCTAAACCCTAAACCGAATATATGGGTAGTTCTCTAAAGTAGGGTCCCTCTTAGGGTCCTTGAAAGGGATCTGTAAGGGTTGCTATAAGGGTTTGTTTTATTTGGATAGTTCTCTAAATCAGGGTTCCTTTTAGGGTCCTTTTTGTAAGGGTGCCGTACTATATTGGGGACCTAAAAAGGGACCCTAATTTAGAGAACTAACCATTACCAATATTATTCCTTAGGGTTATTTATATAAGTATACTATAAAGAAGCCCAAAACCCTACTCTAATTACTAAGGCCCCAACATTACAGAGTCGGGCGCACCACGATCGTATTTCGGGCACCCTCATGACCCAGACGTTTACTTCATGGGTTTGGGAACACACAAACCCTAAACCCTAAACCCCAAACTCTAAATCCTAAACCCTAAACTCTAAATCCTAAACCCTAAACTCTAAATCTAAACTCCAAATCCTAAACCCTAAACCGGTCCAGAGTTTAGGATTCAGCTCTGGGTTGCTGTAGCGGCTTGGTCTAGATCATCGCTAGCACCCGCAGTTTCAGTCGTTCGTGAAGCTTTTTGGTTCGGGGTTTAGGGTTTAGGGTTTTGGGTTTAGGGTTTTTAGGGTTTAGGGTTTAGGGTTTTTAGGGTTTTGGGTTTAGGGGTTAGGGTTTAGGGTTTTGCGG